AAAAAAAATCACCCCGGCGTCATTTCTAACATCGAGTTTCACCCCTCCAGTTTTAGCAGCTGGTTCACTTCTGCTTGTTATTTATCGCTGTTGAGTGAGCTTCTAATGATAAAACTTTCCAAGATAAACCTTTGTGAAAAAAATTAAGGCAAACTTTTCATTCTTGATGTCATTCATTTAGATTTTTTTTTTTGAAGATTTTTCTCCAGTATTTCCACACGTTACTAAAATTTGGATGCAAAAGTTTAAATAGCTTTCCCAATATTAATATTCTTTGTAGTGTATATGTTAGTATAATGAAGGTGCAGCAGGCACTGAAGTTCTCCCGTATTGTATGTTCTTCTCTGGGTTTACTTACCCTAACACTATTTTCTTAGGTTATTTTGCTTTTAAGTATATCCCATTATCTTTTATTCTAGCCACTAAGCTTTTGTTATCTGGTATTCTCCAGCCAAAAAGTACTGACCGGTGTTATCCTGCCTATTATGCATTATTCTTTCATTCTCCAGGTTCCCAAAAGATTTTCTTAAATATTCTCCGTTTTCATGTTATTAAAGCGATATTGTTCATTGTTCTCCGTTGCTAACATTGTTTCTCACTTTCTTTACACCATAAAGCAGCCTTTTTTGTGCTCTTTGCTTCTTCAAATAATTTCTTTAATTTTAATATAGTTTTATACATTCTCTTCTCCGCGCCCTCTTTTACCTTCGCATAAAATTTTAAATTTAAAAATTAAAAATCCCATTTAAAAAGGAAAATAAGAGAAGCTAGTTTTCATTCCTTACTTCATTATATTTAACTATTCAAGAGTCTGTTTAAAGGACATATAAACACATGTTAAGGCCATTCCTTATTTTTTGTTCTGTAGGAAGACACCACTCCCACGAGCCCTCCCAGGGTGGGGATGGTGCCAGAGCTTGCTATCACCCGCACCTCACAAGACTGCCCCCCCCCCTGGGGCGGGGCAGATGGCAGACCAGAGTCCTAGCTTCTTCCTACGAGCCACGTGAGGGCGGGGGATGGGGCTAGGCCTGGAGGTTACCTGGAGGTTACCTGGAGGTTACCTGGAGGTTACCTGGAGGTTATTCCGGGGTTATTCCCGAAGCTGAGGAGGTATGTACATATACCTCCTCCCATGGAGGACAGTCTCCAGACACTCCCCAGACAGGGAGCCAAGGCCGGGTCACCATCTGGCAAAGACCCGGGCCGGGAGCGTACCGGCGAATCAAGAACAAATTTGTTGCGTTGCCCTCCCCTCATAGAAATTACCCCCTAGGGGGACAAGGCCTACACCCCTTTGAAAACATGCTGGTCTACACCCTACAATAGCTTTATTTTAACCATGTGGTTTTGTCGGGGTTTCCTGGTATAAGAATTGCAGTAACAAAAATACATATAATCATAATTAAGTAAAAGTGAAGAGAATGAAAAAAAAATTCTGAAATATTTGATACATTTAAAAAACAGACATGTAGAAGGAGTAGGCACAAAAAAGGCAAGATAAAACGTTAGGACATGTTGCTGGCGTCGGGTTTTGAGGACTAGCTTGCCACAGCACCTGCTGTCCATGTTCCCCCAACAGTAAGATAGATACCTGGTAAGATAGATACCTGGGTGTTAGTCGACTGATGTGGGTCGCATCCTGGGAACAAAATTGACCTTATTTTAAGTAAGTTTATTCAGGTATACCTGGAGTTTACCTGGAGAGAGTTCCGGGGGTCAACGCCCCAGCGGCCCGGTCTGTGACCAGGCCTCCTGGTGGATCAGAGCCTGATCAACCAGGCTGTTGCTGCTGGCTGCACGCAAACCAACGTACGAGCCACAGCCCGGCTGGTCAGGAACCGACTTTAGGTGCTTGTCCAGTGCCAGCTTAAGGCTGCCAGGGGTCTGTTTGGTAATACCCCTTATGTGTGCTGGGAGGCAGGTGAAACAGTCTCGGGCCCCTGACACTTATTGTATGGTCTCTTAACGTGCTAGTGACACCCCTGCTTTTCATTGGGGGGATGTTGCCCCCCAACCAATATCAAGGAACCTTCCTTGAGGGGCCCATACCATAACAGTTCTTTACTTTCTTCATCCTAAAACAGCTTTCAGTATTTTCTTTACATTTTAAAGTAGTGTGTGAGCCACTCACTAACTCGTTTATTCTGGCGAGCACAGAACAAAAGGTTGGACCACAACGTGTTGGGCGGCGTCATCATCAGCGGGTGGAGCTTAGTGTTACAACGTGTGGTGAGGGCGCAGGCTGGTCGCTACACCTGTCACCCACATAATCCTGTAGGGGTCGGTGCCTCCAATTCCATCACTCTCGACGTCAAGTGTGAGTAGGTGCGCTGAGTGTTTGGTTGAGTGCAACTGAGCCTTTGAGGAGCAGAAAGATGTTTAAGGAGTATATTCAAGATGTGGGGAAGTGAGTGGAGTAATTACATCGGGAAAACAGACTGATTTTTGTGGGGTAGTAGACTAGGTACATTCAGGAGCTAGAAAGTGTGTGAAGTAGACAGTGTGGGAGGGAAAGTGCATAGTATTTTTGATGTGGGTGAGGAAATTGTAAGCCACAGAACCTTGTCTTCCTTCTCAAATGACACCCGAATTTGCATGTAGTGTCCTTCATTGAAGACACCGCAAGACTCCAGGTGGATATCAACCAAATCTTTAAATGGGCCGCAGAAAACAATGTGAAGTTCAATGATGAGAAATTTCAGTTACTCCGATATGGAAAATGTGAAGATATTAAAACTATCGGAGTATAAAACAAATTCCAACCACACAATAGAGCGAAAAACTAATGTAAAAGACCTGGGAGTAATAATGTCAGAGGATCTCGCTTTCAATGACCACATTATATCAATCCCATCTGCTAGAAAAATGACAGGATAGATAATGAGAACCTTCAAAACTAGGGATGCCAAGCCCATTATGACACTCTTTAGGTCATTTGTTCTAGCTAGGCTGGAATATTGCTGCAAACTAACAGTGCCCGTCAAGGCAGGTGAAATTGCTGACCTAGAAAATGTACAGAGAACCTTCATGGCACATAACTGCGATACAAAACCTCAGTTACTGGGAACACTTGAAGTTCCTCAACATGTACTCCCTAGAACACAGGCAGGAGAGATACATGATTATATACACTTGGAAAATCCTAGTGATGAGTACCAAACTTGCACACGAAAATCACTCCCTATGAAAGAAAAAGACTCTGCAGACAATGCAACATCTCCCCAATGAAAAGCAAGGGTGCCACTAGCACAATTAGAGAAGACAATAAGTGTCAGGGGCCCAAGACTGTTCAACTGCCTCCCAACATACATAAGGGGGATTACCAATAGACCCCTGGCTGTCTTCAAGAAGGCACAGGAAAGGCGCCTGAAGTCAGTACCTGACCAGCCGGGTTGTGGTTCGTATGTTTAATTACGTGCAGCCAGCAGTAACAGCAGAGGCATCGCTAGAGTTGGTGTCACCCGGGGCGGAATCTCTGGTGTCACCCGGGGTGGCATCTTTGGTGTCACCCCCATGAAATTCAAGGCCTGGGGGATGGGGGGGTAAACTCCAGTTACGTCACTACTGCATGACCAGTCAGTGATAAATGTTTAGCAATGAGAACGTTTAAAATGATAAAATAAATAATCGTAGTAATATTGAGGAAAGATAAACTCAAATACCACTTTGAGTACAGGCAACAGATCCTACATTTATTCATCTTCAACAATGCCAAAACAAAAAGAAAAAACTTGAAAAATAAAGAAAAACATTGCAATATCAGAGAAACACTAGTTCCGATTTGACCTTGAGTACAGGTAACATCACAGTAAATCTGATCTTACATTTCCTTGCCTTCAGATATGCAAAATCATCTATCACATCATCAAAATCAATGAAGGATTCTTCTCTTATGTTGGTGAGGCACTGTTTTGTGCGCTAGTGTCACCTTCTTTAGAGGCTCTATGGTGTCACCCCCTAAATGGTGTCACCCGAGGTGGCCCCCCCCCCTTACAACGGCCCTGAGTAACAGCCTGGTTGACCAGGCCCTGATCCACCATGAGGCCTGGTAAAAGACCGGGCCTCTCTCCAGGTATATATATGGTACCTCGAGTTACGAACTTAATTCGTTCCAGAATGCTGTTAGAGTGCGGATACCGAACGAATTGTTCCTCTAAGGAATAATGTAAATTAGATTAGTCCGTTTCAGATCCCCAAAAATACACTTAAAAAAGCACTTACAAAAATGCACTTACATAGTTGTTTGAGTTGGGAGCTGTTCGAAACTCAAGGTGCCACTGTACGTAATGTACTTCACTTTAAAGAAATTGTTTGCTACATATGTTATGCAACTTAGTTTTGGTCTCCATACTACACACCGGATTTAAATGCATTGGAAAACATATAGAGAAGGATGACAAGCCACTGTATAAGAAATTCTTCATACAAGGATAGATTAAGTGCCTTGAACCTACTCTAACTTGAAAGATGTACATAGATTGAGGAGACATTATCAAAGTACAGTGGACCCCCGGTTCGCGATGCTATCGGTATCCGATAAATCCGGTAACCGATGCATTATATGGCAGAAAATTTGCCTCGCTTCCCGATACAAAACCCGGTATGCGATGTGGTTCATACGAGACGTGTCCATGTGTGGCCTGAACTGCCCCGTGTGTGCCAGTGTTTACAAGCCAGCCAGTGTGCGCGCATCTAAGGATACATTCGGTACATTCCATATTATCCATATTATCACTGTTTTTGGTGCCTGTTTTTGCAAAATAAGTTACCATGGGCTCCAAGAAAGCTCCCAGTGCCAACCCTTCGAGACCAAGGGTGCTACTGACTGTTGAAATGAAGAAAGAGATAATTGCAAAGTACGAAAGTGGAGTGCGTGTGTCGGAGCTGGTCAGGTTGTATAGTAAACCCCAATCAACCATCTCTACTATAGTGAGCAAGAAAACGGCAATCAAGGAAGCTGTTCTTGCAAAAGGTGCAACTGTGATTACGAAACAGCGACTGCAAGCGTTAGAAAATGTTGAGAGACTGTTATTGGTGTGGATAAATGAAAAACAGATAGCAGGAGATAGCATCTCTCAAGCAATCATTTGTGAAAAGGCTAGGCAGTTGCATGACGATTTGGTAAAAAAATTACCTGCAACTAGTGGTGATGTGAGTGAATTTAAGGCCAGCAAAGGTTGGTTTGAAAGATTTAAGAATCGTAGTGGTATACATAGTGTGATTAGGCATAGTGAGGCTGCCAGTTATGTTGTGCGACAGAAGTCCAGTGGCTCTCAAGATGGTCCTAGTGGCATTAAAAGAAGAAGGGAAGTAACCCCGGAAAAGGACTTGCTACCTCAAGTCCTAATGGAGGGGGATTCCCTTTCTAAATGCTAACACCATCCACACTCTCCCCTCCCATCCCATCAATCATCACCAGATCTTCATTAAAGGTAAGTGTCAATTATTCTTTCGTTATTTATTGTTATTTATTGTTATTGTTGTTATTGTAATTACTATTCTATTGCATTAAACCTAATATTTCATGTGGTAAAAATTTTTTTTTCATACTTTTGGGTGTCTTGCACGGATTAATTTGATTTCCATTATTTCTTATGGGGAAAATTGATTCGCTTTCCGATATTTTTGGTTTACGATGAGCTCTCAGGAACGGATTAGTATCGCGAACTGGGGGTTCACTGTATAGTGGTACCTCGAGTTTCGAACGGCTCCCAACTCGAACAATTATATAAGTGTATTTTTTAAGTGCTTTTGTAAGTGTATTTTTGGGGGTCTGAAACAGACTAATCTAATTTACATTATTCCTTATGGGAACAAATATGTTCAGTATCGGCACTCGAACAGCCTTCTGGAACGAATTAAGTTTGTAACTCGAGGTACCACTGTATACATAAGTGGAAGACGAGCATAAACAAGAAATACAAATAGGGTGTTTGTGACTATTAATGCCACCATGTGTGCATCCAGCAAAATAAGCAGGACCCCAATGGAAATAAGTTACTGTCTGATTTTTTAGGTAATCCTAGGTTCTCTACACATATGCTGCTATGTATGATGTACGATAATCTATATATGTAACTGTGTTTGTGTATACTACATAACTGAATAAACTTACTCTTGGATGTCACAATCGACCAGCTCCGGCTGAGATACCAGTAGTATCTCTGGGAGGTTAAATCACCACCACAAGATGATGTAGACCAAACTAACAAAACTTTTCCAGTTGAACAATTATCACATCTTGCTTCATTATGTGCTCAAATGTAATTAGATTAATGAATTCAGAAATAACTCACTCAGAAATGCTCAGAGTACTTTATCAACAAGGCATATTACCAACCATTTTGGAAAAATACCCTGACTTTGCCCCCTGTCAATAACTCAGAACCTCTTTAAACTTTTTTTTTTACAAATATACCTTGCTAAAATATAAGGTAATATTTTTGTTATTTTTTAGTGACCTAATTAAAGTCTGTGTAAATAACTCATTATGGTGGTAACCAGATCCGAACATTCATTACCCTTGTAACTTGTTGTTCTGCCAAAATTTTGGGGCCCAGTCTCTGGACCCATTATGTGGCTCTGTAATCTTTTGACTACCACTCACAGGATGGGTATTGGGTGCATAAGAGATATTAAACTAAAATTGTGGGCAAAACAGTCAGTAAAGGATTGCATTTTACTGCATTTTTTTTTTCCAACAAACTGGCCATATCCCACCAAAGCAGGGTGGCCCAAAAAGAAAAATGAAAGTTTTTCTTTTTAAATTTAGTAATTTGTACAGCAGAAGGGGTTACTAGCCCCTTGCTCCCGGCATTTTAGTCGCCTCTTACAACACGCATGGCTTACGGAGAAAGAATTCTGTTCCACTTCCCCATGGAGATAGGAAATAAACAAGAACAAGAACAAGAAATAAAAAGAAAATAGAAGAAAACTCAGAGGGGTGTATATATATAAGCTTGTACATATATGTGTAGTGTGACCTAAGTGTAAGAAGAAGTAGCAAGACATACCTGAAATCTTGCATGTTTATGAGACAGACAAAAGACACCAGCAATCCTACCATCATGTAAAACAATTACAGGCTTTCGTTTTACACTCACTTGGCAGAACGGTAGTACCTCCCTGGGTGGTTCCAGTCTACCAACCTAGTACAGTGGACCCCCGGTATTCGATGGCATCAGTATTCGATAAATCCGGTATTCGATGCATTACAGTGGACCCCCGCATACCGTTGGCCTTACATAATGTTAAATCCGCATACCGATACATTTTATCGCTAAGATTTTGCCTCGCATACCGCTAAAAACCCGCTCAACGCTGTTCGTCCGAGACGCGTCTAATGTGCGGCCTTACCCAGCCTCACATGTTCCGCCAGTGGCATTGTTTACCAGCCAGCCTCCGCGGTAACATCCAAGCATACAATCGGAAGATTTCGTATTATTACAGTGTTTTTGGTGATTTTATCTGCAAAATAAGTGACCATGGGCCCCAAGAAAGCTTCTAATGCCAACCCTACAGGAATAAGGGTGAGAATTACTATAGAGATGAAGAAAGAGATCATTACTAAGTATGAAAGTGGAGTGCGTGTCTCCGAGCTGGCCAGGTTGTATAATAAACCCCAGTCAACCATCGCTACTATTGTGGGCAACAAAAAGGCAATCAAGGAAGCTGTTCTTGCCAAAGGTTCAACTGTGTTTTCGAAACAGAGATCGCAAGTGATGGAAGATGTTGAGAGACTCTTATTGGTGTGGATAAATGAAAAACAGATAGCAGGAGATAGCATCTCTCAAGTGATCATAAGTGAAAAGGCTAGGAAGTTGCATCAGGATTTAATTAAAAAAATGCCTGCAACTAGTGATGATGTGAGTGAATTTAAGGCCAGCAAAGGTTGGTTTGAGAGATTTAAGAAGCGTAGTGGCATACATAATGTGATAAGGCATGGTGAGGCTGCCAGTTCAGACCACAAAGCAGCTGAAAAATATGTGCAGGAATTCAAGGAGTACATAGACAGTGAAGGACTGAAACCTGAACAAGTGTTTAATTGTGATGAAACAGGCCTGTTTTGGAAGAAAATGCCAAGCAGGACCTACATTACTCAGGAGGAAAAGGCACTCCCAGGACATAAGCCTATGAAAGACAGGCTTACTCTTCTGATGTGTGCCAATGCTAGTGGTGATTGCAAAGTGAATCACTCAGAAACTCCCAGAGCGTTCAGGCAAAAGAATATCCTCAAGGCTAATTTGTGTGTGCTGTGGAGGGCAAACAGTAAGGCATGGGTCACTAGGGACTTTTTCTATGACTGGGGGCAAATGCATGGTGTAACCAATGTGAAAGATTACCTAACTGAAAAGAAATTAGACCTTAAGTGCCTCCTGGTGTTAGACAATGCCCCTGGTCATCCTACAGACGTGGCAGAGCGACTTTATGGGGACATGAGCTTCATTAAGGTGAAGTTTTTGCCTCCTAATACCACTCCTCTCCTGCAGCCCATGGACCAGCAGGTTATTGCAAACTTCAAAAAACTGTACACAAAAGCTCTGTTTGAAAGGTGCTTTGTAGTGACCTCAGAAACTCAACTGACTCTTAAGAGAGTTTTGGAGAGAGCACTTTAATATCCTCAATTGTGTAAACCTTACAGGTAAGGCTTGGGAGGGAGTGACTAAGAGGACCTTGAACTCTGCTTGGAAGAAACTGTGGCCAGAATGTGTAGACCAAAGGGATTTTAAAGGGTTTGAGGCTAACCCTAGGAATCCTATGCCAGTTGAGGAATCAATTGTGGCATTGGGGAAGTCCTTGGGTTTGGAGGTTAGTGGGGATGATGTGGAAGAGTTGGTGGAGGAGGACAATGAAGAACTAACCACTGATGAGCTGCTAGATCAACTTCAACAACAAGAGGCCAGACCTGAGGAAACTGGTTTGGAGGAGGGGAGAGAGAAATTGAAGAAGTTGCCTACTACAAAGATTAAGGAAATTTGTGCAATGTGGCTGAAAGTGCAAACCTTTATGGATGAAAATCACCCTCACACAGTTATTGCAAGCCGTGCTGGTGACTATCACACTGACAATGTTGTGAAACACTTTAGGGAAGTCATAAAGGAATGAGAGGTACAGGCCACTATGGACAGATATGTTGTCTACAGAAGTCCAGTGACTCTGAAGCTGGTCCTAGTGGCATTAAAAGAAGAAGGGAAGTAACCCCAGAAAAGGACTTGACACCTCAAGTCTTAATGGAAGGGAATTCCCCTTCTAAACACTAAGACTCTCCTCCTCCCATCCCATCAATCATCACCAGATCTTCAATAAAGGTAAGTGTCATGTAATTGTGCATGCCTTTTTTAGTTTGTGTGTATTAAAATTAATATTTCATGTGGTAAAAATGTTTTTTTTTTCATACTTTGGGGTGTCTTGCACGGATTAATTTGATTTCCATTATTTCTTATGGGAAAAATTCATTCGCATAACGATAATTTCGCATAACAATGAGCTCTCATGAACGGATTAATATCGTTATGCGGGGGTCCACTGTATATCGCAAAAAATTTTCCTCGGTATTCGATTGAAAACCCAGTATTCGATACGATTCGTATGAGACCTGTCCACATGTGGCCTGAACTGCCCCTTGTGTGCCAGTGTTTACAAGCCAGCCAGTGTGCGCGCATCTAAGGATACATTCGGTACATTCAATATTATCCATATTATCACTGTGTTTGGTGCTTGTTTCTGCAAAATAAGTCACCATGGGTCCCAAGAAAGCTTCTAGTGCCAACCCTGTGGTAAAAAGGGTGAGAATTAGTATGGATATTAAGAAAGATTTTGAAGGGTTTGGGGCTAACCCTGAGAAGCCTATATCAGGGATTTTCCTTATGCATATTGGGGAAATTATTCCATCAGGAATAACTGTTGGCTGGATGTGACAAGTGCCTAAAGCATAGATACCATCAAAAGTCATTAGGTTTCCAGTACAGTATATTCTTTATCAAATATTGCATTCCTTTGGTCACCTCATCTACAAATATGAGAGCCAATCCATCCAATATTCCACAGAAATGTTTCACCCCATCAGTCCTGTATCCAGCACCTTATATGATCATGCAATTCGTGGATATGACATGATGACCTACTATGATTAGTGTAAAGACATGAATAAATATATTTTCCTTTTTTTTTTTAATTTTTTTTCAGAATGGTTTTTGCCCATTTTTGCATTAAGACTGAAGGGCTTTTGTATGGGTGGGATTTGTTGTTCTTGAATGATTGTGTTGAAGCTCTATATCCCAGTCTTTAATTTACTATTCTGGAATATGCTGCTAATGTTATCCCACTGTGTGTGCTTTAGGTTGCAGGTTTTGTCCCATGTTGAAGCCTTCATATTTCTCGCTTGCTCAAATCCTGTATGTTTGTGCCTCGTGCAAATACATGTTTATCTGTAATCAGTGATTCTTGAATAAACCTGACCTCTGACCCCATTCCTCAGATGCCCCTGTATGCTCACCTGGTCAGGTCACTACATACGCCGTTGGCCGCTACGAGGATGCTGAGGTGACCTGCTCTGTGGATGCCAACCCCATACAGAAGTCCTTTCAGTGGACATTCAATAATACAGCTGACACCATAGATGTCCCTCCTGGACGCTACACCTCCACCAAAAGCCATAGTGTAATCACCTACACACCTATGACATCCCTGGACTATGGCACGCTCCTTTGTTGGGCTACGAATATCATTGGTGTCCAACGGGAGCCCTGTGTCTTCCACATCGTTCCTGCAGGTATTTCAACAATCAAGTTAACAGGTTATAAAAGTCACCACGAGCCAGAAAGATCATGTCTCCCCAGTAAAGCTGAGTCTCTTCAATGTGGTTGGGTCACCTTAGGTAACTCCATATCTTCCGCAGGTAAGCCAGAGCCACCTAGCAAGTGCAGAGTGGGGCGGGGTACACCCACCTCCGTAAGAGTGGCATGTGAAGCGGGTAGCAGTGGTGGCCTCACACAACACTTCACCCTATATGCCCGTTTACAGCAGGGAGACCACATTCTCAACTTCACAACCCACACCCTTCCAGTGTTCCAGGTGAGCTACTACTCATGCCTTCAACTTCACAGCTCACTTTTAAAATGACAACTACTGTATTTTGCCATTAGTGGATGGAAGAATGAGTCTATTACTTCTTGTACTGAATGGCTGACACACTTTTAGTACTGTGGAACCTTACTGCCTATAGCATAAATCATCACCAATGCCCTAAAATTGAAGTTCCTAAAAAGCTAAGGAATTGTGCTTCCGAATTTAATGTACCAGTAATATATAATAGATCTGCTCTATATGTTTATGACTCAAATGTATGTATGTTTTTTTTTTTTTTTTTTTTTTTTTTTTTTGCCACACTAACTCTCTCTTGAACACTGTGTACTTAATTGTACACTTATTGAGGAATATAGAGATAGTATAATAACCTATGTGACATGTGAAGATATCTTATTAATGAAAATAAGATACCAGATATACTACCTGGAGTTTACCTGGAGAGAGTTCCGGGGGTCAACGCCCCCGTGGCCCGGTCTGTGACCAGGACTCCTGGTGGATCAGAGCCTGATCAACCAGGCTGTTACTGCTGGCTGCATGCAAACCAAAGTACGAGCCACAGCCCGGCTGGTCAGGAACCGACTTTAGGTGCTTGTCCAGTGCCAGCTTGAAGACTGCCAGGGGTCTGTTGGTAATCCCCCTTATGTATGCTGGGAGGCAGTTGAACAGTCTCGGGCCCCTGACACTTATTGTATGGTCTCTTAACGTGCTAGTGACACCCATGCTTTTCATTGAGGGGATGTTGCATCGTCTGCCAAGTCTTTTGCTTTCGTAGTGAGTGATTTTCGTGTGCAAGTTCAGTACTAGTCCCTCTAGGATTTTCCAGGTGTATATAATCATGTATCTCTCCCGCCTGCATTCCAGAGAATACAGGTTTAGGAACCTCAAGTGCTCCCAGTAATTGAGGTGTTTTATCTCCGTTATGCGTGCCGTGAAGGTTCTCTGTACATTTTCTAGGTCAGCAATTTCACCTGCCTTGAAAGGTGCTGTTAGTGTGCAGCAATATTCCAGCCTAGATAGAACAAGAAAATTTCCTAAATTTGCTTGTAACAAATAAGTGAAATGTAGATAGGTAGATATAAATCCAAATGTTCACCAGTTAACCCTTTTGGAGCCTAGTTCCTAGGTCTTTTGTGTATCCATATGCTCTTGCGCTACCGTCCACAAGATGGATATGGAGTGCACAATAAACTAGCCACTTTGGCGGCAAAATCTATCTAAATCTCAATCAGGTAGGATGATTCACAATAAGAAAATGTACCATCATTCATTCTATAGCTGTTTTTCTAAAAGTTCAGAACATCACATTTCAACTGATCCTCACAAATGCAGCATCTTCATCCCTTCTGAGTGCATGCACTATAGTTCCTGCCTCTAGAATTGTGTAGCATGTAAGCCTTAGATATTTTTTTCTGAAATGCACTGCATATTCATGGCTTTTGAATTTTGCAATTTCATCAAAAGGCATATACAGTAGAATGTCGATTACCACAGTAGTTATGTTCCTGAAAACGTAGTTAGACAAACTGTATTAAACAACTGAAGAACTTGTGGGGAAAATAGAGTTACATTCCCGGGACCTCCAAAAATGCCAAGAGTTTTTCTTTAGGTCTCCAAATCTTACAAAAATAAAAATGATAATGATTTTGCTGTTCATTGTTGTGATGTACTTTGTTTTTTTCTACTGCTTAAGGCTACAAATACAACAGAAATAATATTTCTTACCTTACAGTGTGGTTGCTGGTATTTGTCGATGATTGTGAACAGAGTCCCTCTTATATTGTCTCCTTTATTTTAGCTTAAAAAAAAAAAAACTACCTTAGCTCATTATTTTACATTTGTTAAATAATTCAGGTGCTATTTTTTAGCTTAAGACTATTTACTTTGTTTTATACTTAATTCTAACTATAGATTCACTACAAATCTTATGATTACAAGCATTGATCCTGATACCAACCTCTTATTTAATGACTTAAATGAATCAAACAGTTACTGTAATTACTACACTGCAGAACAATCAAAGGCACTTCTCAGTGCCAACAACAACATAACTATCTTTAACTACAATATCAGATCTTTAAGCAAGCATTACGATGACCTCATAGCATTACTAAATTCCTTACATGCCAATATGTCCATCATTACACTAACTGAAACCTGGCTAAAGCCTGATAGTACAGATGTCTATGCCATTCCTGGTTACACAGCCATACACAACTGTAGGCCAGACCAACAAGGGGGTGGCACAGCCATATACTACTCAGACCAACTAGAATGTATCACTAATACTTGCACAAGAGATGAACATGGGGAATATATAATAGCCAAATTCAAATCCAAATACCTACAAAAACCTCTCACATTGATAAACATCTACAGAGTTCCACAGTCAAACATTAGCCAATTTAGTCAAAACCTAGGAAGTATGATAACTGATGCACGCATGAACAAAGATCACTTACTACTCTCAGGTGACTTCAATATAAATCTCCTGCAAGACCAGGACCCACACGTTACTGAATTCACAAACACAATGAGTAACTGTAGTTGCTACCAACAGTAACAAAACCTACAAGAGTTACAGAGACTAGTGTTTCCCTACTTGACCACATCTGGACCAACACCATATCCCCTTTAAAATCAGGCATAATTACAGATATACCACAGACCACTACCCTACTTTCCTCATTAACAACTCTTGGTAAATTTACCCCAAGACACTACTAAAGTCACCTTCAGGACTTCACAATGAGGCAGCCATTAATAACTTCACAACAGCAGTAGCAAACATTGACTGGCACACTGAGCTAGAAATCAATACAGATATTGACGAATGTATTAATAATTTTCTAAAAAGACCCAATACCTCTATAACAAGCACTGCCCTAAAAAAACTAAGCAGATGACAGCTAAGAGACTGAACAGTCCCTGGCTAACACCCAGCATTCTCAAATCCATAAATACAAAACACCAATATGAAAAACAGTAACAGAATGGGTCACATAACCAGAGACCAAACAAAACGTTACTCGTCAATCCTAACCAGCCTGATAAGAAGGGCAAAAAAATTGTATATGAGAACAGATTATCCAACTTACGAGGTGATATAAAAAAAGACCTGGAAAACCCTATCAGAAATTCTGGGAACAAAAAGATATCACGAAATAGCGAAATAAAATTAGCAAAATCAGATGAACCCCAACTCCCACCAACAGAAACAGCAAACAGACTCAATGATTTCTTCTCCACTATAGGACAAAACCTTGCCAATAAAATCCCAAGCTCAGATACCCCACCAAATGACTACCTCACCGGCAACTACCCGAACACACTGTTCCTAGCTCCGACTAACCCATACGAAGTCTCCCTTATTATCAACGCACTAAAAAACAAGGCAGGAGATTTAAATACCTTACCACCCTTTATATACAAAAAAGTGTCACAAGTGCTATCACCAATCATTGCAACACTCTTTAACAAAATCCATTGAATCCTCCACCTTCCCTACAGTACTCAAAAATAGCAAGGGTCACCCCGATCCACAAAGGAGGAGACCAAACAGAGTTGAATAACTATAGGCCAATATCCAACTTACACCCTCTCTCAAAAATCTTCGAAAAATTAATTCATAAACGAATCTACTCCTACCTTATCTCCCAAAACATACTCAACCCCTGCCATTTGGATTCAGGCCTAATAAAAATACTAATGATGCTATTATACACATGCTAGAACATATATACACTGCAATAGAGAAAAAAGAAGTCCCACTGGGGATCTTCATTGACTTACGTAAAGCTTTTGATACAGTTGACCATGACTTGCTCCACGTAAAATTGTCACACTATGGTATAAGAGGGCACTCCCTCAACTACCTCAAGTCATACCTCAGCAACAGAAGCCAATATGTGTACGCAAATGGGGCAAACTCTTCTGCACAACCAATTACAGTTGGTGTCCCACAGGGAAGTGTCCTTGGCCCTCTTCTCTTTCTCCTATACATAAATGACCTACCAAATGCTTCGCAATTACTCAAACCCACACTATTTGCTGATGACACAACATACGTCTTCTCCCACCCGAGCCCAGTCACGCTAGCCAATACTGTAAATACCGAATTACAGAAAATATCTACCTGGATGAGGACTAACAAACTTACACTAAACATTGACAAAACCTACTTCATTCAGTTTGGTAACAGAGCTACAGATGTCCCTCTTAACATAATGATAAACGGATCACCTATCACAAAGCTAACAGAGGAAAAATTCTTAGGAATCCACCTTGATAATAGACTCAAATTTCATACACATATACAACAAATTTCTAAGAAAATTTCCAAGACTGTAGGCATACTATCGAAGAGATACGGTACTATGCTCCACAGTCAGCCCTCCTGGCCTATATCACTCTCTTATTTACCCCTATCTCACCTATGGAATTTGTGCATGGGGCTCAACAACAAGTAACCATCTCAGACCACTAATTACCCAACAAAAGGCTGCAGTTAGAATGATAACAAATTCTCACTACAGGCAGCACACTCCACCAATATTCAATACACTCAACCTACTCACCATACAAAACATCCATACTTATTACTGCACCTATTACATACATAGAACACTCAACTCTGATTTTAACCCTCCCCTCAAACATCTCCTTGCCAACCTCAACAGAACACATGACCATAACACAAGGCACAGATCACTCTTTGATATTCCTCGTGTCCATCTCACGCTATGCAAAAACTCAATGCACATAAAAGGCCCTAAAATCTGGAATTCATTACCTGTAAATATAAAAGAAACACTACCTGTTTATAAATTCAAGTCTCTTCTCAAAGATCACTTACTCACCCAAAACCAAATAAATACTGAATAACTGAACCTTATAAATTGTATATCTTAAATGCTTCTCACAATTATATCACATAAATGTTAAACCTAAAACCCAATCTAACTTTATTATTTTTAAATACACTACCTAACAGAATACTCCATTCTACTGAATTTACAACAATGCATGCAACCATATGACCTGTCTTTGTAATACTCACTTGTGCTTTATAGTAATCTGTTTACATTAATGTTTTTCACTGATTTCATCATTGCTTAGTTAATCTTAAGTTAATTTTAAGCCAGCCCGTAATGCTATGCATAGTATAAGTGGCTTTGGCATGCTGCTCTTGTCTGTATTTTTTTGTACCTCTGTATGTGTGCTCAAATTATAAATAAATAAATAAATAAAAATAAATAAGAGTGGAGAGGGATACTGTGGCCCTACTGGGCTGAGGTGGATGGTTGTTGATTGTCAACTGAGGTGGATAAATTCTGTAATGGATCTCTGGGCTCTTTTACCCTGCAGTACATTGTACAGTTGATGATAAGGCATCATTAGCTGCTCTAGACTCCATTTCAGAGCATTGCTTCTAGATTTGTCAGGGAGTGATCATGCCGGAGGATCTCACCTTCAAGGACCATAACATTGTATCAATCGCATCTGCTAGAAAAATGACAGAATGGATAATGAGAACCTTCAAAACTAGGGATGCCAAGCCCATGATGACACTCTTCAGGTCACTTGTTTTAACTAGGCTGGAATATTGCTGCACACTAACAGCACCTTTCAAGGCAGGTGAAATTGCTGACCTAGAAAATGTACAGAGAACCTTCACGGCACGCATAACAGAGATAAAACGCCTAAATTACTGGGAGCGCTTGAGGTTCCTGAACCTGTGTTCCCTGGAATGCAGGAGGGAGAGATACATGATTATATACACCTGGAAAATCCTAGAGGGACTAGTACCGAACTTGCACACGAAAATCACTCACTACGAAAGCAAAAGACTTGGCAGACGATGCAACATCCCCCCAATGAAAAGCAGGGGTGTCACTAGCACGTTAAGAGACCATACAATAAGTGTCAGGGGCCGGAGACTGTTCAACTGCCTCCCAGCATACATAAGGGGGATTACCAACAGACCCCTGGCAGTCTTCAAGCTGGCACTGGACAAGCACCTAAAGTTGGTTCCTGACCAGCCGGGCTGTGGCTCGTACATTGGTTTGCATGCAGTAACAGCCTGGTTGATCAGGCTCTGATCCAGAGCATTATGAGGAGGCTTAAAATTAACTTAAGATTAACTAAGCAATGATATATTCAGTGGTAAAAATCACAGTAAACAAATAACAATTAAGCACAAATGAGTATTTCAAAGACAGATCATATGGTCATTTGATGAGTTACTGTGCATTCAAGAGAATGGAGTATTCTATTAGGTAATGTAATTAAAAAAACAAAGTTTGATAGGGTCACAGGTTATAATTTATGAGATGCAGTTATGCAGTATTTATTTAGTTGTGACGAATTTATAAACAGACAGTGTTTCTTTTATGTTCACAGGTAATGAATTCCAGATTTTTGGGCCTTTTATGTGCATTGAGTTTTTTCATAGTGCGAGATGGACACGAGGAACATCAAAGAGTGATCTGTGCCTTGTGTTATGGTCATGTGTTCTGTTGAGGTTGGTAAGGAGACGTTTGAGGGGAGGGTTTATATCCGAGTTAAGTGTTCTATGTATGTAGTAGGTACAGTAATAAGTATGGATGTTTTGTATGGTGAGTAGGTTTAGAGTTTTGAATATTGGTGGAGTGTGCTTTCTGTAGTGGGGATTTGTTATTCTGACTGCAGCCTTTTGTTGGATAATTAATGGTCTCAGATGGTTTATTGTTGAGCCCCATGCACAAATTCCATAGGTGAGATAGGGTTAAATGAGTGATATAGGGCCAGGAGGACTGACTGTGGAACATAGTACCATATCTTCGATAGTATGCCTACAGTCTTGGAAATTTTCTTGGAAATTTGTTGTACATGTATTTGAAATTTCAGCCTATTATCAAGATGGATTCCTAAGAATTTTTCCCTGTGAGCTTTGTGATAGGTGATCCATTTATCATTATGTTAAGAGGGACATCTGTATCTGTTTCCAAACTGAATGAAGTAGGTTTTATTAACTCCTTGCTCCAGTGGTGGTATGAAAGATGTATTTTGAAATAAAAATACAACTTTTACATGTGAATTCACATCCAACAAAGCTTCTGGATGAGTACTGGAATCAAGAGTGAAGAGAACCTTGAATGTAAGGATTAGATTTTTAGATTTCTTACTGTGCAAGTAAAACTTGACTTTAGGAATAAAATGAAGCTTAAACCAGTCAATAAATACTTCCTCTGTCATCCATGCTGATTGTTTGACCTCCAAATTACTGGAAAGGTGTTTTTATATTCACCTTCCAAAGCACGAGGATTCGTGGGATGGCAGGGAAGGACACTAGGCCTCCCCTGCAAAGACAAAGGCCTGACCCACAGGCAGACTCCCCAAGAACACACTAGATGGAGGGGAAAATTCCTACGTTCCAGCTTGCGGTGCTCCAATTTTTTCCCCACCCAGAAGTGGAATCGTGTTAGTTGAAACTTGCGAAATGTTAGTCGAAAATATGCTACAATTTTGCAGTAATGTAATTAAGAAAACTTGGTAAAGGAACCTGTGGTTATCTACAGACTACTGTATCTCATTAATGTATGGAAACTGTAATTGCAAACCCCATCCAATAATAATAATTTTTATTTTGACATGATACACAGTTGTACAGAAGATTTTATCTCCGATTTTAATTTTTGAGGACTCTGATCTAATCAGAGTAAGTGGGGTATGAACCCATGGAGGGCATCTGGAGATTTAAATTTCACAAAGTCTGATTTTTGTTGACATTTATGTTTAATGAAACAAAAAAAAAAAAAGCTGTATTGAATAATGGAATTTACATTTTTAGAAATACAGTAATACCCCAGTTTTCGTCCTTAGTTTGTTCCAGAAGGTCGGTCACAATCCAAAATGGACAAAAACCGAAGTAATATTTCGCATAAGAAATAATGTAAATCCAATTAATCCATTCCAGATACTCAAAAATATTAACAAAAAATACATTTTATAGAGAATAAATATAGTTTTACATACAGAAAAGGAGTATTGGTAACTCAACAAGAGACAGAGGCAGACCGAGTCTGGTACATGTGAGAATTGGCGTCCCGGGCAGGTGGACGTCTGATTCGGACAATTTTCGAGCAGATGTTCTAAACCTGGTGGAAAATTTTGCCAAAAAAAGTGCTTGAAATCTGAATTGTACAATTTCCGTACCGGACGAAAACCAGGGGTCCACTGTATTATAATAGAGTACAACATCTGAGCCCTTCAAGGGAATTGACAATGCTGGTAAAAAAAACTTGCTTCAAGGAATTGGAGCTAACCTTCCCCATCCTTTTATCAAAGCAGATTACATATTCACCAGGCACTCTTTCACCTGTACAGTTTTAGTGCTTCCCTATGATAATATTGATACAAGATAGTGGAGGTAGTGACAGGATCTGTAGAACTGTCACACAGTGTGTACTGTCTGGTATTGTACTATGTGTTACTACTTCTTATAGATTAAGAAAGAGACCTGACAACACTGGTGTACCCCACAGGTTGATGGGTTGAAGGTAGGAGGGAGGTATTATCTTACCATCACTGCCGTCAATGCCAAAGGTGCCAGCGAGGCAGTCCTCCTCACCATCACCAGTGGTTCCTCCAACAGCTCTGTCTACCAGTTGTATGGTTAGTGGTTGTTATTGCTTTTAAGTGCAATAGTGTGAATCTTAGTGGACATGCTCTTCTTTAGGTGCTTCATAAACTAGGGTTAGTAGTCATTTGGTACATAATTCATTACTGGTGATAGTCACTATTGTGGTTATTGGTAATTAAAAATCAGGTTACTAGTGATTGTTATTGGTTACACATTTAGTAATGATACATTAGCACTTCTAGGAAATTCATAACTAATTAATAATATTTTGATATTTAAAGAATATATTTCCTTCTCATTGAACACAGTGCTGCAGTTAAATGATATTGAGGTAGGAGATTGAAAACATGTTGATTCCTTTCAGATGGTCCCTCTGAAGCTGAAGTTCGTGATGGAGGCAAGATTGTCTCTCCTGAAGACACCGAGGAACCTGAGGACGACATCATTGACCACAGAGCCCTTGGGAGCCTAGTCATTCCTTCCTTGCTGCTGGTGGTCTTAGGAGTGGGTTCCGGTTTTGTATTCCTGGTTATTGTGTTACTTTTGTTCATCACTTTCCGCAGCAGAAGGGCGCCACAGCTTCTCTCCTTGGCTGTCACTCACCACCACAAAGAAATGGTAGATCACCATCACCACTCTGGCAAGTCTCCAAGAAGTAGTCGTACATCCTCTACTTTAACTCCTGATCGTGAAAGTTCTTGTCTGGAAAGAGATATGCAGGTGGGTATGAGAAAGAAGAGAAAAGAGCTGGCATGATAGCACTTCAAATATACATACATACCTATTAACTTAAAGATCAATTAATAGACTTTTGGAAATCAAATCTGACGAGTGTTTCTCAAAGCATGTCACAGAAATGTCTGTCTAATAATTTCAGTAACATTGTAAAGCAGATGTAGCAGAGTAAAAAAATGCAAATGCATATCTAGTTAGATTAACATGGCATATTCTCACTTAGTGACGTACTCGTTTACTGAAAACTTGGACTTACGACAGCCTACCTAAATAATGTATATTAGAGCCGATTTCCTCTATTCTGTTTATTACAATATATAGTACACAACTGTCTAAACATTTAAAAATACACCAGAAATTTTATGGTGCAAAGGTGACATAAAAACAATATCAAGGATGGTTGACACAAACCCACTACCATTATAGTATGCTCCTCGCTTAGCGACAGATGCACTTACCGACGAACGGAACTCTGTCATTAAATGAGGAGAGGCTTTAGTTAAATAAGAGAAGTCTTTTCTAAGTGGCATAAAGTCTAAAGTGTGCCTCTCTCAGCCAGTTGGTCAAAGAAAGTATTACTTAATGTAAAACTAAAATCCACCTATACTTCATTAAATACACAAATAACCCGCACATAAAAGAGAGAAGCTTACGACGACGTTTCGGTCCGACTTGGACCATTGACAAAGTCACTTTGTCAATGGTCCAAGTCTGACCGAAACGTCGTCATAAGCTTCTCTCTTTTATGTGCGGGTTATTTGTGTATCGTTCCAGTCACGGTATTGTGCCTTTTTGTTATTTATACTTCATTAAACTTATGCTCTGTCTTGCTTTTACTATACAAATATGACATCACTCAGGTGGAGACTGAGAGTGATGCTGACCCAGATGTGATCCCCTTGCATCAGTGTCATAGTGATGGTGGAGAGGGAGCTTCCCAACTGGTACCTCCACCAGCAACACTACTTCCCACAGATGGCTACAAGTATCCCTCCTATGTCACTTCCCAGGTGAGTCCTATGTTTGATCTTATTTTCTGCTGTACTTTTAAAAACTAGACATGTTACACCTATTAACTGCAGGTAGCAAATCTAACTTTCAGCTGAAAGCATTCTTTATGATTTAAAGGCACAGAAGAAAGAGGCAATTCCAATCAAGCACTTAATGAAAAAATGCCACATTTGTTTTTTTTTCTTTAATATTTGGGTATAATTAAAAAAAATACTAGGTAGTAGGATGGTAGACAGCAACCGCCCAGGGAGATACTACCGTCCTGCCAAGTGAGTGTAAAATGAAAGCCTGTAATTATTTTACATGATGGTAGGATTGTTGGTGTCCTTTTTTCTGTCTCATAAACATGCAAGATTTCAGGCATGTCTTGCTACTTCTACTTACACTTGGGTCACACTACACATACACAAGCATATATATATACACACCCCTCTGGGTTTTCTTCTGTTTTCTTTCTAGTTCTTATTCATTTCCTCTTATCTCCATGGGGGAATATTTTTTTTAAATTTTATATTAACACATTGACCGATTCCCACCAAGGCAGGGTGGCCCAAAAAAGAAACACTTTCATCATTCACTCCATCACTATCTTGCCAGAAGGGTGCTTTACACAACAGTTATAAAACTGCAACATTGAAGGAGGGGTGTTAGAGTGTAGACACTACTTCCCATCTCCAGGACTCAAGTCCGGCCTGCCAGTTTCCCTGAATCCCTTCATAAATGTTACTTTGCTCACACTCCAACAGCATGTCAAGTATTAAAAACCATTTGTCTCCATTCACTCCTATCAAATTCGCTCGTGCATTCTTGCTGGAAGTCCAAGCCCCTCGCACACAAAACCTCCTTTACCCCCTCCCCCCAACCCTTCCTAAGCTGACCCCTACCCCGCCTTCCCTCCACTACAGATTTATACACTCTCATTCTGTTTTGTTCCATTCTCTCTACATGTCCGAACCACCTCAACAACCCCTCCTCAGCCCTCTGGATAATAGTTTTGGTAATCCCACACCTTCTCCTAATTTCCAAACTACGAATTCTCTGCATTATATTCACACCACACATTGCCCTCAGACATGACATCTCCACTGCCTCCAGCCTTCTCCTTGCTGCAACATTCATCACCCATGCTTCACACCCATACAAGTGTTGGTACAACTATACTCTCATACAGTCCCCTTTTTGCTTCCACGGACAAAGTTCTTTGTCTCCACAGACTCCTAAATGCACCACTCACCTTTTTCCCCTCATCAATTCTGTGATTCACCTCATCCTTCATAGACCCATCTGCTGACACGTCCACTCCTAAATATCGGAATACATTCACCTCCTCTATACTCTCTCCCTCCAATCTGATATCCAGTCTTTTGTCACCTAATCTTTTTGTTATCCTCATAACCTAATTCTTTCCTATATTCACTTTTAATTTTCTTTTTACATACCCTGCCAAATTCATCCACCAATCTCTGCAACTTCTCTTCAAATCTCCCAAAAACACCCGTGTCACAGAAAAGAGAAACTGTGACAACTACCACTTTGTGTTTGATTCTTTATTTTTTAACTCCACACCTCTTGCCAAGACCCTACCCATTCATTTCTTACAACCCCATCAAAAATATTTTGAACAGCCACGGGACACACACACCCCTTGTCTAAGGCCTATTTTTACGGGTTTTTAATCTCCCTCCTCCTACATACTCAAACCCTGACCCTCACTATCCTCGTAAAAACCTTCACTGCTTTCAGAAACCCTACTTCATAATATACACCTGCAACATTCTAAAATTGCCCCCCTACTATCCTGTTATATGCCTTATCAAACCAAAAAGCCACAAAAAACTATTTCCCTTATCAAAATACTGTTCACCTTAAAGTTTCACTGTAAACCTTGGCTACACCCCCCCCTACTTTCCCTAAGCCTCCTTGTTCACCCTATCCTACCTCTGTTTGCTCTTAATTCTTTAAATAAAACTCCAACCCAAAAATTTACCAGGGATATCATAAAACACAAGAAAAAAGGGAAAACCTGCAACAGGCCATGGCCCTGCAGACAGGGCCATGTCCTTCCCCCGGGTTAGACCATGACCCACCCCCCGGATTATCCAATGACCCATCCATTGGTAATCCCCACTCAAGGGTGGGGCACTGTAACGACCAGCGCACGAGCTATCAGGGGCCAACCGCACCACCCACACCCACTCATGTATTTTAAACTAACCTATTTTTTAAAACTACACAACTTTTAGCCCAATAAATGTACTCGGGGGTTGTTCCCCTCATCCACAAATCTATTACCAAAACCGTATTTCCCATTCCTTTCCCGAAAATAATTTTTTTCCAAAATTGAAACCATTGCTACGATCCGTCTTGGGTGGAAAATTTTTAGCACACTATTTACATCCCCTTTATTTATTCCTGTTTTCCATTTATACACCTCGATCATATCCCCCCTAATTCTATGCCTTTCGAGAGAGTGCAGATTCAGGGCCTTCAGTCTATCCTCATAGGGAAGATTTCTGATACATGGGATCATCTTTGTCATCCTCCTTTGTACGTTTTCCAGAGCATTTATATCCATTCTGTAATACGGTGACCAGAACTGAGCAGCATAGTCTAAATGAGGCCTAACCAAGGATATATAGAGTTGAAGAACAACCTGAGGACTTCTATTATTTATACTTCTACATATGAAGCCAAGAATTCTGTTAGCTTTATTGTGAACACTAATGCACTCAACAGACTTATTCCCCTATAATTTTTGCACTCTCTTTAGTCCCCTTTGCCTTTATACAAAGGAACTATGCATTCTCTCTGCCAATCCCTGGATACCTTACCCTCTTCCATACATTTATTAAATAATAGCACCAACCACTCCAAAACTATATCCCCTCCTGCTTTTAACATTTGTCTTTATCCCATCAATCCCAGCTGCCTTACCCCCTTTCATTCTACCCACTGGCTCATGAACCTCCCCCACACTCACAACTGGCTCTTCCTCACTCCTACAAGATGTTATTCCACCTTGCCCTATAAATGAAATCAGCCTCCCTATCTTCATCAACATTTAACAATTCCTTAAAATATTCCCTCCATCTTCCCGATACCTCTAACTCTTCATTTAATAACTCTCCTCTCCTATTTTTAACTGTCAAATCCATTTGTTCCCTAAGCTTCCTCAACTTATTAATCTCACTAAAACTTTTTCTTATTTTCCACAAAATTTGTTGATAACATCTCTCCCACTCTCTCATTTGCTCTCTTTTTACATTGCTTCACCACTCTCTTAACCTCTCTTATTCTCTCCATATACTCTTCCCTCCTTGTATCACATCATTCCACCAATTGCTCTTCTTCCCTCCTGCACCCACTTTCCTGTAACCACAAACTTCTGCTGAACACACTAATTCTGTATTCTTAAACTTGCCCCATACATCTTCTACCCCATTGCCTATACTCTCACTAGCCCATCTGTCCTCCAACAGTTGTTTATATCTTAACCCTAACTGCCTCCTCCTCAAGTTTATAAACCTTCACCTCTCTCTTACTTGCTGCTTCCATTTTTCCTCTCTCTTACTTGCTGCTTCCATTTTTCCTCTCTCTTACTTGCTGCTTCCATTTTCCTTGTACCCCATCTACCTTTTACTCTCACTGTAGCTACAACTAGAAAGTGATCCGATATATCTGTGGCCCCTCTATAAACATGTACATCCTGAAGTCTACTCAACAGTCTTTTATCTACCAATACATAGTCCAACAAATTACTGTCATTTGGCCCTACATCATATTTTGTATACTTATCCTCTTTTTCTTAAAATACGTGTTACTTATAGCTAAACTCCTTTCTATACAGAGTTCAGTCAACAAGCTCCCATTATCATTTACACCTGGCACCCCAAACTTACCTACCACACCCTCTCTAAATGTTTCTCCTACTTTAGCATTTAGGTCCCCTACCACAATTACTCTCACTTGGTTCAAAGGTTCCTATACATTCAATTAACATCTCCAAAAATCTCTCTCTCTACACTCCTCTCTTCTCTAGGTGCATACATGCTTATTATGACCCACTTTTCACATCCGACCCTTATTTTAATCCACATAATCCTTGAATTTACACATTTATATTCCCTCTTTTCCTTCCATAACTGGTCCTTCAACATTATTGCTGCCCCTTCCTTAGCTCTAATTCTCTCAGCTACTCCCGACTTAATCCCATTTATTTCTCCCCACTGAAAGTCACCTACCCCCTTCAGCTTTGTTTCGCTTAGGGCCAGGACATCCAACTTCTTTTCATTCATGACATCAGCAATCATCTCTTTCTTATCATCCACACTACATCCAGGTATCCCAGTTTTATAAAGTTTTTCTTCTGATTTTTAGTAAATGTGTACAGAAGGGGCTACTAGCCCATTGCTCCCGGCGTTTTAGTCGCCTCATACGACACGCATGGCTTACAGAGGAAAGATTCTTTTCCACTTCCCCATGGACAATAGAGGAAAAAAAAACAAGAACAAGAGCTATTAAGAAAAAGAAGAAAAAACCCTAGATGTGTGTATGTATATATATATGTACATGTATATGCATGTGCTTGCCTGTGTAGTGTGACCTATGTGTAAGAAGAAGCAGCAAGATATACCTGTTATCCAGTGCATTTGAGACAAAGACACCAGCATGGGGAAGTGGAACAGAATTCTTCCTCCGTAAGCCATGCGTGTTGTAAGAGGCAACTAAAATGCCGGGAGCAAGGGGCTAGCAACCCCTTCTCCTGTATAAATTACCAAATTTAAAAAGAGAAACTTTTGTTTTTCTTTTTGGGCCACCCTGCCTCGGTGGGATACGGCTGGTTTGTTGAAAAAATAAAATTAAAAAAATATTTTTAGTAAATTTTTAAACAAACTTCTGATCCTAGTTTACCCTTCATCCCCCCCTTATTTCCCGTCTCTTTCTCTCTCTCATCTTTAACACTCCTCATTTGAAAACAGTGAGTTCTAAAGAGAACGGCAAGTTTAGCATGGCTAAAGAGTGTTAAATCCATCTCTTAACTTCACTATGACATGTCTCTTTGCAAATTGATGATAGAGCACACACACTTTACCCACAGCCCTCTGCTTTAGGGTGCTCGCTGTACAAAACATTCACACCTACTACTGCGCAATCTACATTTACAGAACCATAAATTCTAATATTAATCCAGAACTAAAACACTTTCTTGGTAGCTGCAACAGGGCCCATAGACACAATACTAGACACAAAAAGCTCTGACATTTCTCATGTCTAGCTAAACCTCTACAAAAATTTGATGTACATACATAAAAGGGCCTAAATTTGAATTTCCTGCCTGAAAACTCTAGAACTGCTAAAAAAAATCTCCCTAACACACCCCCATCATCAGCTAACTATATGAAAACCACCTATTCTCTTTTTAGTATCATGAACACATGCAAAATAAAATAAACTTACTCTCATTACCTGTAATTCCCTCTATTTTACACTTACACTCGCCCAAATGACTGTAAACATAAAATTCCTAATATAGTTATTGCCTAATAAATCTTAAGTTAGTCCTAAATTTGCCTAAGATACTCTCCCAGTATAGGAGCAGTAATAAAAAAGTGTATCATACCAAGACAAAACCATTTCCATTACTAAATTTATTTATTGTTATATGTTTTGTACTACCTCACTTATAAATTAATTAATCACTTCAGTTACCTAACTTTTATATCAGTATGCAATAAGGTATATTGAAATGTACTGCTCTATAACCTATGTCAATATAGATTAAGAATTAGGATTAGTCTGCCCGAAATGCCTAGATATGCTAGTGGCCTCCTTTGTAATTAATATTTTATAATATGTAAACTATACATTGTAAGCTTTGCAAGTAAATAAACATTTTCATTTTCTGTAACATACTGCAAACCATGGTACACATTTTAACAATTTGCAGACAGCTTTAGCCTTTTCATTTTAGTCCAGAGGTTTCTATAGGATCTCAGAAATTTAATGGATGGATAATTTAATCTTGTGACTACAGTAGGACCCCTGCATCCTTGGGGGATACGTTCCAAGGACCTCCCGTGGATCCCGAAACTGCAGATAAAGAATAATAAAGAATAAAGATTTTATTTCTTTGTGAAGGTTACAATGCGTAATTACAATTTACATTTAAGTACAAAGAAAGCCATTATCATGCCGAGGCATTTCGGGCAGACAATTAGTAGGGAACTCAATACTATGTCATTTTTCAGTGAGTGTACATACATACTTGTGATAAAGTTTAATTGATAAATTATACACTATAAGTGGAGAATTAGCTCTGTTTTGAATGATAGGAAGCACTTTATGGTTTTTCTTAGGCTTTGAAAAACTGCCACCATCACTACTTTTGCATTTTGAGGCCATTATTAAGCAAAATTAAGGGTTATTTTCTTGGCACAGTAAATTGTGGATAATTGAAACTGCAGGTACCGGACCTGCAGATATGGTTGTCCTGCTGTATTTATAGTTTTAATTAGTGTTAGTCTGTATAAAAGATTTTTACTTGGAGGGTTAGTTTGAGCATGTTTGGGGAGTGAAGTGCAACAGGGTAAAATATTTGATTGTGTAAAGAGCTGAAAGATATTTTAGTTCCATTAGTGCAATTATGTGAAGTGCTAAACCAGTATGGGTCATTCAGCACCACTTGGTCCCAGCACTTAAACATCCATCTATCCTTCCACAGGGCTTGGGCAGACACAGCAGCACAAGACAACAGAGTAAGACAACTTCATCAGCAGTATTTAGAACTCCAGGAAGCTTCACTGGATGCAACTACGCTAGAGGGTATCTCCATTACGATCCAGCTTATGTTCAGGAAGCCACAGATTCCTCTAGTCTGTCTCTAAACATCCCAGTCATCCCTCCTACTGCCACCACCTCTGTCTGTCAAACTTCTTTGTTAGGAACCCAGCAGTTTCCTTGCCTAGATAGCAACTTGCCACCACCCATGGCAGACTACCTCGGCTCTGACAGGAAGAGAGTGTCCTTTGCCAGGCATCTTAACTGTGATGATGACGCCCCCAGTACTCCACTCCTCAAGAAGGGGGAGAGTTGTGTATGATGGCAAGCCTTACGCATTTGGCAAGAGAGAGTGACTGTAGTAATAGATTTTTTGTACATGTGAATTTGATTACACTTTTATATTACTGGATATACCCTATGAGTATATTCATAGAACAAAGAACAGATTTCCAAAGATGAGAATTCTTAGTATTAATAGCTTAAATTTTATTGCAAGACTACAAATGACAACCATAGAGAATATCTTTCCACTCTCATCTCCACCATCCAGTCAGCCTACCTCTATCACACAATGTATAGAATAATTCAAACACCAGCTGTCTCCCACTGAGGTCACTGTCTTGCCAAAGGCAAGGTGGCAGCATAGTTCAGACGACTCTCCAAACTGCAGTATCCTCATCCCTTCTTTCGAGTGTAGGCACTCCTACCTCCAGAATTCAAGTCCAACTAATTGGCTTTCTTGAATTCCACTCATGCTCTCACCCCAACATGTAAAGTCATAAAAAGCACTTGTCTTAACTTCAGTCTTACACACTCCCTACAATCAATCCTGGGAAAACTTCTACCCCTCCCTTCTCTCATCCTAGTCTGCTCCATCCTCTTAAAATCCCAGATCCCCTCAGCCCTCCGAAGTATTCTCTTGGTAACCCCATACTGTCTTCTTATTTCCAGATTCTTTGCATAATATTTGCAACACACATCACTCCCAAACATGACTTCCCTATTGCCTCCAGCTTCCTTGCTGCAACATTTTATGCTCATGCTTCACTCCTATATAACTGTGTTGGTAGTTTTGTACTCTGGTCATTCCCTGATTTTACCTATACAGATAAATTTCTTCATCTCCACAGAAGTCTCAATGCACCATCCACCTTTTTTTCTTTGGTTCACATCATTTTTCATAAAACTATCTGCTGACAAGTTCACTCCAAAAATATGTGAACACATTATCTTCCTCCGTAGTCACTCTCTCTCCTATCTGATATCCAATCTTTCTCTCCCTAGATCTCCCTGCTCTTTCCAATATTGGCTTTTACGTAATTTCCTTCTTTGAAATACTTTCCAAAATTCATCCACTAACATTTGCAGCCTCTCTTCAGAATCTCCCAGAACTGTCATTGGCAAAAGGTAACTGACAACTCCCACTTTGTACCACACATCTCCCCAATACCCTAGCATTTACTTCTTTTACATCCCATCTATAAATATGTTAAACCATCTTGACATCTCACATCCCTGTCTAAGGCCTAATTTTACTGAAATATAATTTCCCCCTCTCTCCTGCATACCCTAACCTAAACCTCACTATCCATATAAAAACATTGTTTTTAGTAACTTATCTATTCCATCCATTTGCAACGTGCCACATTGCTTCCCTATCGTATCTGTTATATGCCTCTTCAAAATTCATACATGTAAAAAAAAAGTTCCTTATTTTAATCTAAGTATTGCTAACTTATATGCTTCAATGTAAACAAATGGTCTACACATCCCCTACCCTTGCTAAATCTTTGTTCCTCCTTTCTGTCTTGTGTTACTCTTTCAAAATTAATTCTGGCATATACTTTTCCTAGTAAACTTACGTTCCTGTTCAATTTTTCCCTTATAAAAGAATTAAGCAAACTCTGCCAATCCTTAGGTACCTTCCTTCCTCTCATCAAATACTGAAAACGTACATGAAATATATCAAAACTATATTCCCACTTAAATTTAGCATCTGTCATAATTCCATCTATCCAAGTTACTTTACCCTCCTATAATTCCACCCATTGCCTTGTGGATTTTCCTTATACTCGCATCTGGCTTTTCTTTACTCCTTGAAGAGGTTATACTTCTGCCCAATGCATGAAATCATTGCTTCCCTGTCTTCTTCAGTATTTTGCAACTCAAAATATTCCCTCCATCTTCCCAGTACCTCCTCTTCTCCATCTAATGAAGCCTCGCTTCTGTTCTGTAGACTTAACTTATTAACCTCCAAAACTTAATCATTCTCATTCAAATTTGTTTATAAAACTTTGCTCTCTCTTTCACTGGCTCTCATTTTGCATCCCCCTCATTCTTTTACTCTCGCTCTTACTCTGCATGTGCCCTGCCTTCTACATTTCACTTCTGCATTGTAAAAACCTTTCATATGCTAACTCTCCCTTATCACCTTCTTTACCTCATCATTTCACCATTCTCTCTTCAGACCTGCACCCACCCTCCTATACCCACAAACATCTGCTGTGCAATATCACTGCATTCTTAAATCTATCCCATACTTCTTATACTCCTGCTTTCTCCTCATTACATGTTTGCTCTCTAGCTCACCTGGCTCCTAATAATTGATTATGCCTAACCCTTACTATCTCCTTTAATTTATTAACTTATGCTGTACTTCATTCTTACCCATTGATGACATTCGTCTTGTACCCCATTTACCTCTTACTCGGCATATCTGCCACTAAATAATTATCTGATATTTGTTGCCCCTTGTACAAACATGCATTTCTGTAAGTCTACCCATCACCCTTTAATCTACTAATATATACGTACTCAAACAAATTGCTGCCATTTCACCTTGTATTATTATTATTATTATTATAATCAAAGTACTAAACAGACAAGGGCCGTGTATTGCTGTACACCCTATAGCATATCTCGTGTACTTATTTATCCTCCTTTTCTTAAAAGGCATATTGCCTATTACCAAACATCTTTCTATACATAGTTCAATTAGAGGCCCACATTATTATTTACTGCAGCAACATGCCTATTAAAAAATCTGTCTATTCACTACTGTTACAGGGTCACACAAGCCTGCTGGATGCTCAAGCCCCTATGAACAAATGAATGAATGAACGAATGAGAGTCTAGTTAAGACCCTTGTGGGGTGAGTGGGGAAGACGGGACAGGTGAAGAATAGTTGGAGAGGAGTGTCCAGGGCTAAACCCAGGCTGTTCTAGCAGGCAGACAGTTGCTCATTGGAGGGCAGCAGTTTTGGTTGCAGGAGAGGGCAGCAGACAAGATCTCAGAAGAAAGCAGCACACTTGTAGATGTTATTTGTACTGTTAATTAAGGTTGGGATGTAGAAGAGCCATTTTCATACTTCTTGAAGTTGCTTCTGGAGAGGTGATAAAATTGTGTTTTGTTTCTAAAGATGAATTTGTGTAGCTTGGTGAACTTGAGTACTTATGTTAGTGTGGTGACATACAGGCAAATTTGAGTCCCAGCACAGAGCTCTTTATACAGCTCCATGCAGATCATAGTATCAACATTAGATTTAGATGTGTAGGTTAGGCTATCCCATGTGGGTGTACTGGGATGGGTGACTTTTTCATCATCTCCTTCACAAGAGGATTCTGTAGGAGAGTCTTCATGGGTACTGGCAGATGGTTGTAATTCATCAGCAGTGGCGAGATGTGTTGGTGGATTGCTAGCTGGCTGAGATTTGGGAGGCGGCAATTGAGTCAGTAGAATCTTCGTTGTCGTCGATGGAAGCAGTTGGGGGTGGTACAGGAACAGTTTCTTGGGTAGAGGGAGGAAACACGACTGCAAGTGCAGTGAGGTTCACTACACTGGGTACAATCTTGCATTAATAGTAGAGTTAATATACTAAGGTTTGCAGCTTTTGCAAGGTGTCCATACACCATGCAATGCAGCACCTTGTTTCAGTGTCTGTATTGACGACAATGAAGGAGTCTTTCAACGAGTGAATTGCCATAAATTTGACCTGTAAGCAGGTCATTACAGTGGTAATAGCCCTTGTGGCTTAGCGCTTCTTTTTTATTATAATAATAATAAATTACAGTGGTAGCTAAAACTAGCTTGGAGTTGTTAATTACTCCATAGGTGGCAAGGTCACGGTGCAAATGGGGGAAGCCCCTACAACTCAAACCCTCTTATACCCCTCCCCCTTCCTCCAACCATTCCTAGGATAACCCTTGCCCCTTCAACCTTCCATCCTAGATTTATACACCCATTTCATCACCCTATCCTTGTCCATCCTCTCTACTGTGCATGCCCAAACCACATCAACAACCCCTCCTCAGCTCTCTAATTTATACTCTTGGTCATCCCACATCTTTTAATTTCTGCACTCCAAATGCCCTGCATGATATATACATCACAGGTGGCACTCAAACATTTCTAGCCTCCTTTTCACTAAAGCAGTCAAAACCCATGCCTCACACCCATATGAAAGAGTTAGTACCATTATATTCTTGTACATTCCATTTTTGGCTACCATAAATAAACTTATTTCTTTCCACAGATACTTCAGTGCACCACCCATCTTTTTCCTTTCACCTATTTTGTGGTTCACCTCATCTTTCATAGATCTATCTGCCGACATATCCACTCTAAAATATCTAAACACATCCACTTCTTCCACTTTCCCTCCTTCCCACAAGTTGCCTGATAGGAAATTTTAATATGTCAGACATACTGGCCAACTTATTGCTACTCACGCAGGAGACTTTGAAGTTAGGTGACCTGACTGACTCCAGTGACCAGACACCTTTCACACCTGACTTTCCTGTCCCTATGTATGCTATAAATCTCTCGTGCTCTGTATTGAATTATTAGTATTATTTGTGGGAAAGTGCTAAACAGGGGTTACATAACACCTGGAGAATGGGAGACAATCAAGTTTGATCAGAGGTAAGCTCCAATTCCTCAGATAAAAAGCCTTTACCAGCATCAAGGCACCTCCCTTAAGGGCCTGCATTGTATTTCTTAATAAAATGTTTGTGTTACATGTGTGTCTTATTTCCATACTTTTCTACATGTACCAGGTTCCTGTGAGCCATGGAATGTGTGGCGAGATGAAAGATGCAAATCTATCCCTGCCTCTAAATGTTTTATGTATACAAGCTATAAAGAACAAAAAGGCACAAACCATTCTGGAAAATACCCTGACTTTGCTGACTGTAAACAAAGCATTACCACTCTGTATGTTGGTGGGGGGAGGCAAAAGAACAATGATGGCTGACCACACGTGTAAAAATACTTCCTAGTAATGTAATTGCTGAGTAGAACATCTATGGGTAGAAATCGTAGATCCACAGGGGCCTGGGGCTTATCCATCTATGGAATGGATGGACAAGTCCAATTACTTAGATCAATAACCACCCCCCCCTCTTACAAGCATCAATGTACCTGCCCCTTGAGGGGCTGAGGAACACAATCCACTTCCCATCTTAGATGCTCTGCTCTGTAAACCCCTTGGGGGGATTTCCCTAGATGCTGGTGAAGGGCTCTTGATCTGGGGAATTAGATCTGTTCCAATTCCCCGACTTAAACCTGAATGCCTTCCATCCTCCCCCCCCCTATCCCTACAGGCGCTCTATAATTCCTACGGGTTTAGCTCCAAAATTAAAAAATTACCAGAAACCTACTAATCAACTTGACCTTATCCATCCACTTCATGACTCATCATAATACTAAAATGAATAAAGTGGTCCTGATAGATTTTTCCCTCAGAGCATACAATGTGAGCAGGCTGGACTACTATGCTTTTGGGGGAGCACTAAACCTGTAGGGATCATGCAGCACCTGGTGGGTAGGTTAGGAAGTCTGGAAATTTGAATTACATGTTTACCATGTAGGTTATTTAGCATGCCTGGGAATAAAAATGCAGAACACAAGAAAAAGGTTAAAACAGTACTAGCATGAGTAAAAGATCAGAAAAATACTATTATTACAATAACCAGCATCAGTTAATAGACCAGGAGCACCAGCAGATAGCAAGAGGTAAGATTTTGTGACAGACACTTCTCAAAGTGACTATTCCTGATTAAGGAGGACTAAATACCCATGTCCTGCCAAACCTTTACAACTTGCTTATCTGTAGATGAATGGTTCAGAGAACCGACATGTTGATAAATTAGACACATGTGCAACTCTTGGGTATCTTTATTGAGGAAACGTTTCGCCACACAGTGGCTTCATCAGTCCATACAAAGGAGAATCTTGAAGAACAGGAGGAGAATGAGGTAATCAGTCCCTCAACCTTGAGTCGATGTGGTCAGTCCATCAATCTTGAATTCTATTCAAGATTGATGGACTGACCACATCGACTCAAGGTTGAGGGACTGATTACCTCATTCTCCTCCTGTTCAAGATTCTCCTTTGTATGGACTGATGAAGCCACTGTGTGGCGAAACGTTTCCTCAATAAAGATACCCAAGAGTTGCACATGTGTCTAATTTATCAACTTGCTTATCGTCTGTAGGGCCCATCGGCCCTGCCACTTTCAAAGGAAATATCTATATGTGCTATAAAATAAGCCCAGTAAAGCAGCCTTCATCTCGGGATCAGCACGTTGATTTCCAGGGACAGTAACATGGCTCAAACACTAAATATCCCCGTGACACGCAACAACATGGGCAAACCACTCCTGAATCTTTTGGAATACAAGGTAGACAGAAATATATCGAGCAAGGGGAAACGGAGTACATTAAAAATCTGAGCAGACACTGGACCGAGAACAATTTATCAGGACAAGAGCAGAGAGAATATAGTAGAACTCTGCAATGAATAGCACAGGTAACTGTGCACAATGCAAGCCCTCACCAGCAATCACAGAAAAGACAGGTACTTTGTGACCTGATACAGAAAATCCTTATCCTAGAAGCATGAGTAGCACCATAAAAATATTCGAATTGCGATTCATAAAAACAAGAAAGCAGTAACTGGTAACTATTGTGACGACGTTTCACCTGCACTGCAGAAATGAGGAATGAGAAATGACTATGCTGCTCAGTTCTGGTCACCGTATTACAGAATGGATATAAATGCTCTGGAAAACGTGCAAAGGAGGATAACAAAGATGATCCCATGTGTCAGAAATCTTCCCTATGAGAATAGACTGAAGACCCTGAATCTGCACTCTCTCGAAAGGCGTAGAATTAGGGGGGATATGATCGAGGTGTATAAATGGAAAACAGGAATAAATAAAGGGGATGTAAATAGCGTGCTGAAAATTTCCAGCCAAGACAGGACTCGCAGCAATGGTTTCAAGTTGGAAAAATTCAGATTCAGGAAGGATATAGGAAAGCACTGGTTTGGTAATAGAGTTGTGGATGAGTGGAACAAACTCCCGAGTACAGTTATTGAGGCTAAAACGTTGTGTAGTTTTAAAAATAGGTTAGATAAATACATGAGTGGGTGTGGGCGGGTGTGAGTTAGACCTGACTAGCTTGTGCTGCTGGGTCTGGTGCCGTGCTCCTTCCTTGAGTGGAGATGATCCGACTGGATGGGTCATTGGGCTAATCCGGGGGAAGGGGGGGTTCATTGGTCTAATCCGTGGGGAGGGGACATGGACCTGCTCCGCATGGGTCAGTAGGCCTGTTGCAGTGTTCCTTCTTTCTTATGTTCTTATGTTCTTAAAACCAAACCATCTACAAAAAATATTTGCCGAAGGCAAACTGAGCAGAATAGAAGTATACATGGAGAATACCTAAAGGGCGTTTCGGGGGGGGGGGGGGTCAATGCCCTCGCGGCCCAGTCCTTAACCAGGCCTCCCGGTGGATCAGGGCCGGATCAACCAGGCTATTACTGCTGGCCACACGTAGTCCAACATACGAACCACAGGCTGTGGCTACTAATATGATCTTTTGGTGTGAGGTCTCCAAGTACTTTTGGGTCGTGATCATAATTGTGATCTCTTGAGGTGGTGAAAGTTACTGTAATTATTCCGGGGTCACGGTGACCGCAACATGACCTCTGGGGGTGGGGGAACGTCACTTTTTCAGTGATCTGAACGTGACCTCTGGGGAGGAAGGTCATGGTGACTACATTGTGACCAATGGAGGTTGGGGGATCGCCTGAAGGGAGGATTATATCAGTATTGCCGTTCAGCAGTATTATTCATTGTTTACTGACCGAATAGCTTCGTCTAGGGAGTGTTTAGGTCCTTTTAAAGAAGGCAGAGTTCCTCAAATGTTTGTTATGACTATCACTCAGGAAGAGACCCACAACGGTAAACTAATATTTGGATGCCTACTTACTGCCATGTAAAGGAATGCCCGTAAGGGGACTTGTTCATACGTCTCTCCCTGCCCGGGGCAACCTGTACATCGTCGTGGTCAGCAAATTCGGCTCACGACCTATTGGTTGCAGGTTACGGTGTCAAGGAGACCTTTGGGGAGAGGTGGGTGGAAGGTCTCTGTGGGGTCACGATGACCATCACAGCGTGACCTCTGAATGTGGGGAAAAGTCAGTGTATTTCCTTTTGAGTCACGATGATATCATTGTGATTTCTAGGGAGGAACTGGGAAGGAGGTGAGGCACCAAGACCTTGGCATTTGAACATTGTAGGGAAGAAACTCGTGAAACTGACCACCAACCACGCCCAGGAGAAGAAAAGGAAGGAGGGAAAAGAGAAAGAAGGAAAAAAAAGCCAAGAAAAAAATGGAGGTAGTGGAAGGGAAAATATGAATCAGAAGAGAGAAGAGGAAAAGAGGAGGAAATAATAGAGAAAGAAGGATGATGAGAGGCGGAAAAGGACAGAAGAAAACTGAAGGTGAAGGACATGAAAGGAATTAAGTTTTAAATTTTGTATAGATATCACATAAGAACATAAGAAAGGAGGAACACTGCAGGAGGCCTGTTGGCCCATACTAGGCAGGTCCTTTTGGCCCATACTAGGCACAAAGTCAAACAATGTGACTTATTCCCATTAAGTTCCTTGTTAATTTACATAGGCATATATATATTTATATATATACATTCCGTCACTCATACAAAAACTTATTTGATTAATGAATCTTTGTGAGCATTGTAATACTAGAAATAACTATCGTTCCTCTCTGCAGGTATAAAATGTCTCAGGACGAGGCACTTCACTCGAAACTAATTAAGTTGTTTTAAGTCCACGACATTTAAAGTTAGTGCTTAAGGCATTTAAAAAATCTGGGGTGGACATTTAAAATTCTCTGGGGAGGACATTTAAAATTCTCTGGGGTGGACATTTAAAATTCTCTGGGGTGGATATTTAAAATTGTCTGGGGTGGACATTTAAAATTCTCTGGGGCGGACATTTAAAACTCTCTGGGGTGGACATTTAAAATTCTCTGAGGTGGACATTTAAAACTCTCTGGGGTGGACATTTAAAATTCTCTGGGGCGAACATTTAAAACTCTCTGGGGTGGACATTTAAAATTCTCTGACGTGGACATTTAATTAAAACTCTCGTAACGCTGGACTTTTAAATCATTGCCACATGTTACTTTTTCAAATTATTATTTGCCGACTTGTGTTCTCGTCGCTTCATTCAGAAATTATCGTCTTTTTGGTTTCATTATCGTAAAAACACTCGCCTATTTGTGGTTGCAGGAGTCGATTCACAGCTCCTGACCCCTCTTTTTTGCTGGTCGCTACTAGGTGTACTCTCTCCCTGCTCCATGAGCTTTATCATACCTCTTCTTAAAGCTATATATGGATCCTGCCTCCACTACATCACTCTCCAGATTGTTCCACATCCTAACAACTCTTGACTAAAGAAATACTTCCTAACATCCCAGTGACTCATCTGAGTACCTTTCAGTTGTGACCCCTTGTTGTTGTGTTCCATCTCTAAAACATCCTGTCCTTATCCACCCTGTCATTTCCTCTCAGTATTTTATATGTCGTTATCATGTCACCCCTATCCCTCCTGTCCTCCAGTGTCGTCAGGTCGATTTCCCTTAATCTCTCCTGGTCGGACATACCCTTTAGCTCTGGGACTAGTTGCAAAAATTTTAATCTTCTCTAA